TCTATGGCAGCCATCTTGGATGGTACACACACACAGCTCTGCGTATTTCGAACATCAAATACATTGCTGTTAGCGCTCTAGTATTCTTATTATATCTCTATTAATCCACCAGAAATACGGATTTGAAGCACCAGAGTTGGACATAATTGCAACAAAACTTTTTTTTTTTATGAATATATATAGTTAAATTTTATATCTACAACATACAAAAAGTTTACCAAAATATACCCACGGGAAAGGTGATTTTTATAGCAAAGAAAATTTTACTGGGCTTATACGCCCTGTCAAGATGTGTGTGCTGTGCCTTGGTTACGAAGCGCTTTAATTTGACTTGCCGCTGACGCTGTTGATTGGTTAACATACCTTCAACAGTCTGCGCGTACTCATTTACGCAACACACGTACGTACGTACGCAAGTTCGTACACACGTCACGTCCCAGAATGTAAACATGGAAATTGTTAGATATTATAGTAACCTCTGTAATATTTAAATTCAGGGTAGATGGATCTACAACAATAATTCAATTTTAATTTTAAATACAATGATAGGTACGATTAATTGACAAATAGTGAGGCCTGCCCAGTGTGTGCCGACCTAGCTGAGACTCAGGAGTCGGAAAAAAGTATGTGATCTTACATCAATAGGCCCTATATAGGAATAGGCCTATTATTATATTTTCTTACCTAAAAACACCAATTAAAATGTTATAGCTAATACAATAAAACAAATTTTTTTTGCAAATAGTGTAAAATAATTGTTGATATTTTAAAAAGTATAATAATGACTCTGATAAATGATTTATTTGAAATAGGCCTACTATTCTACTCTCTTCATATAAAAAAAATGTTGGAAATCACGTAAATTCAGGATTTGGTGCCGAATTCTGTATAATGCCTGTATAATGCCTTGTCTTCTGGTGAATAGCATGGACGGGGGTGACAGGCGACACGTACCCCAACTATTTTAAGGGGGTGGTCCCCATCACGTTCCTAAGGAAGTCAAGAATATACCTGGAAATTGTAGAATTGAACTGCATAGATGACCAGATTTCTACGAAAGACCACTTTACAGGCAGATAACATCTTATTTTATAACAAGATACCGGTGTTTTATGTCCACAAACATCTGAATTAACTGTAAAACATGACTCGAGTGCGTGCCTTTATTATACAAGTATGATTAAAAGTGTGTAAAGATAAATTGGTTTTCGGCTCATGAAGTAGGTAAAGTAGATAAATCGAAGACAATTATGTTGTTATATTTCTATTATCGCAGCGGTTCATATTAGATACAAGATACAAGATAGCTTTATTGTCAAATTAAAATATGAAATTAGTTTTTCTCATGGCAACAAAAGTACATAAACAACAGAGAAACATACGATCAATGATGATTAATATTACATTACATGTACAGTATTAATTAGATCTCTATGTTTGCCGAAAATCGTTAATAAGAGATCACGAGAAATTTGTTGACGCTTTATTTTGCCTGGTGATGTGATGAAGATGAATTTTACTACTGTATATAAAAGTGTCTTCCCATCTAGGTACTAATTTATATTTCTTTTTTACCTCAGTCCCAACCACGTACGGCTGAAGTAGAGCTAAGAAAATGTATGATTACTGCACCTGTAGACAAAAATTTGAATATATTATTTTTTCTCAATATTTTTTTGAAATTTTAAAAAGGCCCCCACCCCCTAAATTGGCTACTGCTATCGATCGAATATCTGGAGAAAGAAATCTTGTTTGTTTTTACTCAGTGTACCAGCTGATTATAACTAAAAAAAAATACCGATAGCCATGACTGAATTTTACTGAATGAACTTTAATATGGTTGGCAATGGTGGTGGGGAGTGGGGTGGGCGGAGGTAGGCAGGCAAGTAAAAAATGGAAATTATAGATGGTTGATGTCCAACACTTATAAAGGTTAAGGAACTGAAATTTTATTAATATTTATTTGGCATATTATTATGCATGCATGACATGCGGTCTAACTGTTATACAGTGATAATAAAATCTATTTATAATATACTATTAATTTATTAATTCTACGATCGGCAACCCATGGGTCGTAACCCAAGTTTGGGCCGTGAGTGAATTTTTGAGGGTCGTCTGATCACATCTCCAAAAGGTTATACAGAAAGTCTTAAGTGTTAAAATTAAATACTTTAAAAATCAGAACATTCGAGTCAAAACATCGAAACAAAATATTTTAAAAATAAAATACGGTAATTTGTTACAATTTTGGCTATTGTCTTCAATTTGCGTGCCTGCATGCAGTGTACTATAATCTCAGTCAGACCGCCGTTTGTTTAATAGTGTTTTT